ATCTGATGGTTACGACCTCATTTCGTATTTGAATTTAAATTTTTATTCTACGAATCCAAATAATTTGAAATTTTAGACGTGTAATCTTCAAAAATAAGAGAATCTAATAAAAATATCAAAAAAATAATTTGCAAGAAATAAATTGTCCAAAATACCCCTGAAGCATTTTGGGGGTATTTTGATCAATTTATTTTTTACGAATTATTTTTTAAATATTTTTATTAGGTGCGCCTTGATGAGAAGAATGGATGCCTAAAATTTCAAGTTATTTCAATTTATAGAAAAACAATTAAAATTCAAACATGAAATGAGGTTGTGATTGTCAAATCGACCCAGATTCAATCTGAGTTCTTGGATTCATATGTTCATATGAGTTAGTGGGCTAATCGCAGTGAGGTTTGCATTAGATTGCAACCTTAAACAATCAAAGTAAGGCGACTTTGTCATAAGATGCATTTTTGGTATCAAAAATTTTTCGGATTACCCGAGACTTTATTTTCATCTCTGCTCATAAAATTCTAAACTCCAAAAATGGTTCAAATCTAGCAGATCCATAAATGCATGAAAATCTTGAAAATCGACGGTCCAGATAATGTGTTGCAAGATGTATTATTTTTTGGAACTTGAAATCTTTTTTTCTCTCTTTAATATCCATACAACTCGATGTCAAGATGATCAACTTAGATGGTTTTCCGACGTCAAAATAGCCTTTTTCGATGGATTTTTGAGATGCACCTTAATTCTACAATTCAAGGTGTCAAGCTTACATAAACTTTTTCCTTTTATTGGACCCAAAAGAATACATATTTTTTTATATTCCAACGTACCATGATAGTATCACACATTCTGAGGCATCACTAGCTTTTGTTGTCTTCAATTTCAAAAGCAAGGTGTATAATGGTACATATATGAAAAGCCATGTGTATCATGGTAACACATATTAAAAGCAAGATGCACCGTGGTAACGCTTTTGGAAAGTGAAAAATCAGGTGCTACCAAGTTGGACAATGATTCACCTTGTGCAAAGCAATAAAATGTGGCTTTTGACTAAGGCAATCTCTAATATTTTATATGTCAAGTTCCACTGAGTAGGTATATCGAAAACATATGGTTTTTTGCTTTCAATTATAAGTAGGTTGATTTTATCAACCTTTCATGTCTCAATTGTGACATCTAAACATCCTTGATATTATCTTAGATTTTCTAAACCATATCTCTTATCAATGATTCATCTTGCACAATAACGTTCAAAATATGAGCACAGTATGGCACATGAAACAACTTACCTTCAAGAGCAAGTGATGAATTCCATGATAATTATCTTTTGAGGGTTGATGTTGTGATATATATGTTTTGTCAATCTTCCAACGCATTAACAGATTCAAGATCGCCATAACAATGCAACTCCTATACGAGTAGATGGTACATATGCAAAACTTAGGTTTTGTTTTTCCAAGTGTCATGCCTCATCAATAAAATGAGCAATCATGCATAAATACCCCTGACTACAACATGAAAACCATATGTAAATGGTGAGGCCAACGCGATTAGGAATTTTCTTGCAACTCCTATATAAGGAGATGGTACATATGCGAAACTTAGGTTTCGTTTTTTCACGTGTCATGCCTCATCAATAAAATGAGCAATCATGCATAAATACCCCTGACTACAACATGAAAACCATATGTAACTGGTGAGGCCAACACGATTAGGAATTTTCTTTAACCCCCCATATAATCTCTGTTTCTACTCGTAAATTTCCATGATATGTGCTTTTATTGTACCACTAAAAACCATTGTACCACAAGAAACTGTCTTAGATAATGGTTGAAGATTACTCACATAAGTTATAAAGCCCATGTGTTCCACAATTGGAAAAGGTGTATTCATGTAGGATGATCATTTTGCAAGATCATTCCTCTCTTGATCACATCTAAAATTCATTAAACCCCCTTCCCCTTTCTTCAAAGATGCTACTAGTAGTTTTTGGCCTGAAGCTACATGCACTCACTTTTGTTAGTGTCGACCTTTCCTTTTATTTGGGGGACATATTTTGAGGCGAAACATGCATCTACACCGAGTATACGTCCTTAAAAATCTCCTAAAGGACATTTCCCTCTCAAAACCAATGTATGCAAAACTGTGTTTGTATACCACAAGATCCAAACGACCCATAAATGTTCATGGTCTAAAATCTGCATTGCTTTCAGGTCGAAACAACAACTTTTTTGAAACCATCTTAAACCCACAAGAAACCTTCTTAAAAAATGGTCGAAGATTACTCCCTGAAGTCCTAAAGCCCATGTGTTCCACAATTGAAAAAGGATATTCATGTAGGATGATCATTTTTGCAAGATCATTCCTACTTCTTTCTTGTTCAAATTTAAAATTACTAAACCCCTTTCCCCTTCCTTCAAAGATGCTACTATTTTTTTTTCGCCTGAAGCTACATTCACTCGCTTTTGTGAATGTTGAATTTTTTTATTTAGGGTATACATGTTTTGTCGGGAAATGTGATCCACAACAACTGAGTATAGGCCCCTAGAAGTCTCCCAAATGTCATTTCCCTCTCAAAACTGGGGTATGCAAAACCTGAGTTACTTCAGTTAGCATAACCTATGATCCAAATGACCTATCAATGTTCATGGTCTGAAATGTACATGGCTTTCAGGTAAAACAACCTAAAAACTAATGCAGTGATTAAAGATGCAAAACAAGAACCAAAATAAACAGCAGGATTGAAATAATAGAATTTAAAGATCAATTCCAAATACAAACAAAATGAAAAAAATCATGAGCTATTGTAAACCAAAACAAGCTGAAATCAAATTTCAGCTCACATGTCAATCAAAGACAAAAAAGAAAAATAAATAAATAAATAAACTAGAACAAAGAAGTTAGGAATATATACCACCCAAACCCTAGTTATATAACCAAACCACTTTCAAGACCTCAACCAACACCTAAAGGCAAAGATAAGTTCAGATAACCAAAAAGTCGAACCCTAATTCTGTTAAAGATACCAGGCAAACGATGAGAAAAGGCAAAATCAACAATTTATGCCGTAAAATATCCAAGACACTCAAGTTTCTAGAGGGAGAGTTACCTGCAATGGAACACCTGCAGCGAGAGAAAGCTCCGCTAGGGTTTGAGAGTGCTCACAAATCCGTGAGGCCTTCTGAGATTTCGTGAGAGAGAGAAAGAGACGGTCGTTGGTGCTTCCAGTGTCCAGATGCAGAGGGTCACGGGGCCATGGACTGATTAACAAAGCGCACCGCTAAAAGTCTCTCTCGCTCTAAGCTCCTCTTTGCTATCAGATTGTCTCTCTCTAAACTCCTCTCTCCGATTCTCTCTCTAAACTCATCTCTTTCTCTCTCTCTCTCGTCCGCGCACATTTGTTATTGGGTGTAGTTTGGCGTATGGATGTATCCGGAGCTGTAGAGGTAAGGTCCACCTTCAAATTATATGGTGGTATATAATTTTGATGGCGTATGGATGTATCCGGAGCTCTAGAGGTAAGGTCCACCTTCAAATTATATGGTGGTATATAATTTTGATGTAACACGTTCATAGTATCTCAAAATCTATTTTTATATTTAATTATAAAATTTTAAATTTAAAAAATAATTAAAATCAAATAAATCTATAAACATATGGAAATCTTGAAAATAGACGATGTAGATAATATGTTATAAAATGTATTATTTCTGATACTTAAAATCTTTTTATTTTTTATAATCATACATCTCGATGTCAAAATGATAAATCAAAGTGTTTTTTAACATTAAAATTACCTTTTCCGATGGATATTTGAGGGACATCCATAGTTCTACATTATAAGGTAGCATCCTTATATAAACTTTTTCCTTTGTTATTTATTCACTAATTTTCACATCTAAAAAAAGTTTTAATAAGGTTACAACCTTATTGCAAAGTTACAGTTGCAACTTTTCTTCACCGTCCAATAAAATGGACGGTGGATATTTAAAAAAGAGAGGAGAGACGAAAACTGGAAAACAGAAAGCCCCAATTGTCATTTTCAATTTCCCTCCAAATTCTCTCTCTATCCTCTTGGACATCTCTCTCGTCATCATCATCAAAACCTCTTACCAAATTCTCTCTTTCTTCTTGGACGACTCTCTCTCTCCATCGAGTTCATCGCAACACCCTTTAGTGCGAAGTACAAAGAGGTTCATCACTACAGAGGGAAAGAACCCTTTAGAGAGAGAGGTACAAAGAGAAGATGGAAGGAGTGCATTAGGGTTAGGATTAGAAAAGGCCCTAACACTTTAGAGAGAGAAGGCTGAGAGAGGGTTTACAGAGAGAAGATTGAGAGAAACAGGAGGAGGATAGGGAATAAAAGTAGAGACAAAGAGACGTATAAAGATAAAAGATTGAATGAGACCATTAAGGCTCGGATTAGAAATGGTCATTTGAGCATTTGTTGCCATTCAAAATTAGCCCAATTCAAAAAGTAATTGCAAAGCTCAAAAAAAGTTCAATTACTCTCTCTGCTGGCATTTGCTACCATTCGAAACCTTTGCAACCATTGCAATTCCAGCACTTCAATCAAGCTGTCTCTCTATTGTGGGTTTTAGAGTTCGAAATCCAGAATAATCTCTCTAGGTTTTTTTTTTGCCCTAATGAATAATTTTTTTCCCTAATTAGCTATTTTGGTGCATATGAGCTACTTTTTTTTTCTTCTTCTTCTTTTCTTGGTTATTTCTTTGAGTGTTTGTTTTGCCCATATGAGGATTCTTTTGTGCAAATCAAAGTTATGGTGCATTTGAGTTATTCTCTATAGAAAACCCTAAACGCAATCTACGAAAACAAGAAAGAAAAAACAAACACAAAAGAAAGAGACAACCAACCACAACGCAAAGATATACGTGGTTCGGCAACGTGCCTACGTCCATAGGAGATGAGAGCTACTTTACTGGCACTGGAAAATAGGGTTACAATAGCTATCTTCCTCACGCATCTCTGATTACAAAGAAATTTGCGCTTTTTCCTTAACACTAAAAAGAACTTCCATCGCTACAATATATAGAGTCCTATACAAATTACCAAGACACCCCCATGTACGGATACAAAACTTTCCCTCGGGGCCTGCTGCCCCCAAACCCCCGCAAGGGTCGAGTTCACCGAGTCTACTTGGTAAAATGACTCCTTCAGTCCTCAAGCCTTTCGGGCATTTAACAGCCCTTTGGAGTCGTCTCTTTGACTCCACCTTTGGCAGATATATTTCTTCAGCATACAAGACATTAATCTTCAACATTTTTTTTTTTTTTTCTTTTTTTTTTCTTTTTTCTTTTTTTTCTCTCTTTTTTTTGCCTTAAAAGTTTCTTCCACCTCATTTTGTTCCGTGAATTTTATTATTAATGCATCTATTGCTTGCTTGAATTTAGTGGATGTTTATTCTAGCAAAGTCCACAATTTTTGAAGAACCTTGGGTTCAGTCACAGAATTTATTTTTAGTTTTTTCTTTTACTTTTTGTTTCGGGGAAAAATATTTTTTGGATAAATGGTGATCGAATTAGTGTGAACTACGAGAAAATCATTTTCAATTCAAGTTCGACAATTTGGTTGATTTAGTTTTTTTATTTACTTTGGAATTAGGCTACAAATTATCTAATCTCTTAATCCACCTATTAAATTAATTTGAATCAGGCCTGACAAATAAAAGAAATCAAACCAATATGTCTAGAAAATAAAAAGAATGAAAGATTTTAACCGCTCAATTGAATAATTTTCCTAAAAATTACAAAACCAAAACTATTGTGCATGGTAAATGGATTTTGAAATGGTGGCGATCGTGTAAATTTGCAGCATGTTAGAAAAAAGCTAAAAATTTTCTCAACCCATTAATTTAAGTTTACATTTTGTTTTTCGATTTTGAGCTCATTTATCCCAGATAAATGAGTGTTATGTACTTATCAATGTACATTACATGCATGGATTAATAGGAATTTTATATGGATGATGTTATGAAATGCCGGTGATTATAGATATTGCAATTTTTCTCTAAATTTGCAGCAACATGCTAGTTGCACTGCTCTTTATGAGAATATTAACTATTTTTTGTATATGAATGAGGAAGAAATGCTAGCTAATTATTTGTATAGTAAGAATTTTTTATGTGTATAAATGATTATGTAAAGAGAGAATGTGTATACTGGTAGCACCCTTATGATATTTATAGGTTCATGGTTTTGTTGATATTGTTGTATGTGATGAAGATAACATCTTAGAAATATTAGGAGTGTTAAAAGAGTAGTAATTAAAGCCCGACAATTGTATGATAAGGAAAATCTTTAATTCCAGCTCTAGAATTTTTGGAATAATTATGACTTAAAACGAGTCGATAAATGTCCAATTAGAATTTCCTTTCATGTTTATGGGTCTATAAAATAGGATGGACCTAAAGCTGGACACAAAGAACATAATTGACATGGAGGTGGAGAGTATTTCAGGTATCCATGTTATTGAAGAGTATAACGATAATGAAACAAATAATATTATTCATGTGGATGGTGACAATGGCAGCGACTCTTATGTAAGTCAGGATGAGACTTGCACGGTAGAGCCAATAACTTCGAAATGTAATGATGAGGTTCCACAAGAAGGTATGCGGTTTGAATATCTTGAAGCCGCATTTGATTTTTATAATAAATATTCAAAAAGAATGGGTTTTAGTATTCGTTGTTCTTCAACTCGTCGATCAAAAAAATATGGGTCGGTCATTGCTCGTGAATATGTATGTTCAAAACAAGGTCTGTGGCACAAGAAGTGTGAGGGGAATCAATCTCGACCTTATACAAGGATAGAGTGTCAAGCAAAGCTAAGAATCAAGAAAGATGAATATGGCATATGGTTCTTTACGAAACATGAGAAAGATCATTCTCATGCCTTTACTTCACCATCCAAAGTCCATCTCCTTCGGTCACATCATACAATTCCGAAGGCCATGAGAGAGATGATCTACATGTATAACTCGTGTGGGTTAATTGCCCCAAATATAACAAAAGTGTTGTCTACATAGGTTGGAGGTCCAAGGAGTTTGCCTTTTGTGGAAGTAGATTGTAAGAATGCAATATATTACAATCGGAAAAAAAAATCAAAATTGATAGGTAGGGATGCGGAGGGTTTGATGGAATTCTTTGCTACTAAGAGTGCCACAAACCTATTATTTACATACAAGATACAAATTGATGAAGATGGGCGCTTAACCAATGTGATATAGGTTGATGCATAGTCAAGGATCGCTTACGACTTCTTTGGGGATGTAATTATATTTGATACAACATACAAAACCAATGCCTATAGAACTCCATATGCCCCAATTTTAGGAGTAAACCACCACACAAAAACTATATTCTTATGATGTGCTTTGCTCTATAGAGAGGATGAGGAGTCTTTTACATGGTTGTTCACAAAGTGGCTCGAGGTGATGAATGGATGTCAATCCAAGACAATTATCACCGACCAATATAGGGCAATGGCCCTTGCAATAAAAAATGTATTACTAGAATCCCGACATGGCTTGTGTAGATGGCATATTACATAAAAAATTGAGCAAAAAATGGTGCAAGTTGAGTGCAAACATCCATCATTCCGTAGGGATTTAATCAAGTGTATTGACCATTGCACCACCATCATGGAATTTGAAGATGAGTGGCGAAGAATGATAGAAAGATATGAATTGATTAACAATGATTGGATTGAGTCCCTATATCAAATCCGACACCAGTGGATAGATGTATATTTGCAAGATTGCTTTTCTGCTGGCAATAGGACTAGTGGAAGAAGCGAAGCCATGAATAAGGACATCAATGCATATGTAAATTCCCATACTAACTTGACTACATTTGTTAGCCGACTTCAAGAGTTAATTGATAAATTTTTTGATGAGGTAAACAGTACAGACTTCAAAGCTCATAATGAAGCACCAGTTATGAAGATTGCGACCCGCATGGAGAGGCAAATGGCTCAACTTTACATCCCAATTGTCTTTAAAAACTTCTTTCAGTCAGAGTTGATGAAGGCCACTGATCTTACTTGTGACGTGCAAGAGGATGATGGGATGATATGCACTTTCAGTTTGAAAGAATATTGGGCATGCCACCTTGCCCACGCAATTGCATTCAGTAATAATGAGGAGAAAGTAACATGTAGCTGCTATCTATATGAGCGCATGGGTATCCCTTATAGTCATATACTTATGGTATTTGTTTTAAAATATATCCTTGAGTTACCCCATAACTATATAATGAAGTGATGGTCAAAGGATGTGACAAAGGGGGTTGCTCGTGATGGTTTTGGAATTCAAGTAAGGGCCAATCGTGAGGATGCCTATTCCATGTGCTACAATGATCTATTTCAACGACGCAACATGCTATTAGCTAATGGGGCCGTGAGTCCCAGTGTATGTGAATATG